TTCCCAATTAAAAACAGTAAGCTGCCATAAATCCATTTCAACGCATATATAGCAGTTTATTTATCTGAAAGTATTTTGGACATCTTGTTTTTTATTTTGGATTTTTGTATCCTTCAACATTCCACTTCTTAATTCGACTATTTGACCATTTTGTCAATATCTCGATTTTCTGTCGTAATTTGCCTCAAATCACAAGATAGTGATCTGGGTCAGTTCGTCCGGCGACACTTTCTGATATTAGTAATGTCTATTTCCAATTCACCTTCTTTTATCTTGCAGTTGGTACTGACAACTACATAATTATTTGCTGCTGCGAATTGTGCAACAAGTCTATTTTAACTGGTTACAGTATGCAAACTATGTTTTCCAATCAACTTGTATATCCCGTTGTAAATACACTAGAGATTACAACAATACGAATAAATAATATACGAGATAGTTATAAACTTCTTAAATTTTTCATCTAGATTAAAGAGTTTGTTGCCTTCCTTTGTAACAGAAAATATAATCAAAACATGTCGAACTTACAAAAAATGGTTTTTTAAATTAAATCTTATCTCGAAAAGATTGCCTATACATTTGTTTTTATTTATTTATCACATGTCTATATTGAATAATTTTTGTTTTTTTTTTTATTAATTTTATATACGAATTAGTATACGTTGGATGAAAAACCACTTCAACAAGAGTCGTTTCTTAATAATATTTATTTATATAAAACGAAACTTTCTAATTTATTTGTAAGTGTATGTATTATAGTATTATTATTAAGAAACGAATTTGATATAAGGTGTATCATATACTGATTGTCAAAGTTTGTGATTGATAAGATAAATTAGAAAGTGTTTTATTGTTTTATGTGTAATAAATGACTTAATACTAATATAACATCACATATTACTAAATCTAATGTAACAGTATTTATTTGGTCCCTTGTTGAATAGTTATAAAGAAGTTTTTAACGTTTATATTTCGACGTTTTGTGATGGGATATTATCTAAATCGTACGTAAATCCTAAATCAGGCTAATAATAAATAAATAAATAAATATATATATATATATATATATATATATATATATATATATATATATATATATATACAGATTGAACGAAATAAATTCGGAACATAAGAAACATCATGTATTTCGGCTCATTTCTGCTGTAGGAGGTTGGCCAACAAAAGGTTGTCAAATAATTATATTATAAAAACCAAATACTTCTGCGGGCTGCTGGATTCTGAACTCATAAAAATTGAAAGCTACAAATAAATCTACGATTTTATTATGCTGTCAACCACTTATAGTCCAGGAAATGAAGCATTTCACCTCGTAATTTTTTCGTCCTGCGTGGATTAACTTGAAATTTTAACAGAAGGTAGGTAATAGCCTAAGGATCAAAATCTATATCGAACCAAAGTTCGCCAAAGCCACCCCATCCCGGGGGTGAAATTTTTTTTACGTTTTAACTGCAGGTTTCGATTAAAAAAGTGATTATAAACAAAAAATGTTCTATACATTTTTTTTGTAAAACTGATATTTTTCAAGTTATTCGCGATTGATAGTAACAACTTTTATACGAAAAAATAGACGCTTTTAATCGATTTTTTGCGAATAACTCGAAAATGGTGCATTTTATCAAAAAATTGTAAAGAACAAATTTGTAGCTTTTAAAAAGACAAATACAATTCATTTTTTAAAATGTTTTTGCGATATAATAAGAACCGAAATACTGCCTATCAATGTTCAGCGGTTTTCTTCAAATGCCAAATTTGAAAGATTCAAAGTCAAATATCGGGAAAATGATGCATTTTTGGAAGAAAACTCACGCAACCTTTTTTAAAGAGCATAAATAGATCTATCATAAAAAAAGACTCTAGCTCAAAAATTGAGTGAGTTATGATGAAAATAAGGCCAATACCTCATTTTTTTACGAAAAAATCGATGAAAACAACCCCCTAACCACTCCCGTAATTAAAATCGATCTTCACCCTTCTGCAATTCTCTTTGTACATGTATTGTTAATACGTCCAAGAAGTTTGACCCAATTAGAATGTTTAGTTTTAGAAAAAGTACAGCTTAAAGCGAGAAACGATTTACAATTTCATATTTTTTACCCTTTTTTTTTTAAATATCCCCGAAAATACTGAATATATGAAAGAAATAAAAATGTACTAAATTGTAGCTTTTTTAAAGGCTAAAATTTTCCTTTATTTAGATTTGTTGTACAATGAATATTTGGCGAGATATAGCCGTTTAAAGCATCGATTTACGATCAAGCACCATCTTTTTCGAGCCCTTTAAACTCAACCCCATTTAAAAACCAAGGGTTCCAAAGAGATTTAATTCACAGGTCCTTGTAGCTCTTAAAAACCTCTACAAAATCGTTTTTGAAGAAACACTCTATCGTTAAAAATGAAGGAAATACGTTAAAAAAACCAATTAATTTTTTTTTTCGGAAAATTCCATTAGTATAGTACAGTACATTTAGGAGCATAAAAATCTACAAAACCGGTATATTAGGTAGTGGGGCGTTATACATTCGAAATTTTAAGCGTTCTTATTTTGAAATCCCATACAACAGAAAAAACATTTGCTCATATGTTTATGGCTTGGCAATGAAAATATCAGACCAATAGACTGGGGATGGTATTCCAAAGATGGTTTGTTATTACCCGTACGCATGAACAAACAACCTGCACCCGGTGAACTTTTGAAAATTATTTTTTGCCAATGCAAAAAAGGATGCGGCGTTTCATGTGGGTGCAGAAAAGTTGGTTTATACTGTAACTTTACTTGTTCTGGGTGCTCAGGTGAAGGGTGCAATAATAGTCCACCAATAATTGAAGAAGATGAGGATGACATAGATCACGATGAAGATGTAATTGATGACGAATAAAATTAATATTATAATTGTTTAACCTATAAATGAAAATATTTTCAACTATTTATGTAAATGTATAAGAATATATGGTGCCTTTTTATGTTGATAAATTTTTTTGTATTTAATTCTATTTTTTTCAATTTATATCTATTAAATTAGTTTATAAACTGCACCCTTTACAACTGCAATGTTGTAAAGGGTGATTTTCAAAAGTTGAAAAGTTGCAAAATTTTGTCAAAAAATTGTTTTTACCCATAGCACTCATAACAATTGATTTTTAAGGGTTGAAAATGTATGAAATTGTATTTTAAAGTATAAAAAATCACTATTTAACTAATCCAAACCAAATTTCACTCATCTTAAGATTTGTAATGTCATTTTACAATTTTTGAAAATTAGGGGTAGTTTTTACCCCTAAGAACAATCAGGGTTCATCGGCATGACATAAACTATAAAACAAAGGGTGAGTTAAGCTTAATTTCAATTTTTTATGCAAATCATTCCAAGGCGAAATCATTTTCTTCGCATTACTAATTTTTTTATATTAATCTCTAACAAGGGTCGCTTTTTAAGGGTTGAAATATGATGGAACTTTATTCAAAAGCACGAAACTATCATAATTTAATTAATTCAAACCAAATTTTACCCATATTCAGGTTTAATATGTTATTTTATAATTTTTGTCAATTAGGGCTAGTTTTCACCCCTAAGAACAATCAGGGTTCGTCTACATGATATAAACTATAAAGCAGCGGGTGAATTGAGCTTAAATCCAAATTTTTATCCAAATCGATCCAAGGCGAAATCATTTTTTTAGAATTAGTAATTTTTTTACATTAATCTCAAACAAGGGTTACTTTTTAAGGGTTGAAATATGGTGGAACTCTATTCAAAAGTATAAAATAATCATTATTTAACTAATTCAAACCAAATCTTACCCATATTCAGGTTTATTATGTTAGTTTATAATTTTTGACAATTAGGGGTAGTTTTCACTCCTAAAACCATTCAGCGGACTTCGGTTCGATATAGATTTTGATCCTTGGACTATCACCTACCTTCTATTAAAATTTCAACTCAATTCATGCAGGACGAAAAAATTGCGAGGTTTTAACTTTTTTCGAGCTTCATTTCCTGAACTATTAGAAACGTCCTTAGACAAGCAACATTGTTACACAAACAACATTGTTGCGAGACAGATAGTTGAACGATATTTTATACAATGTCTATACCCAGGTATGGATTTATTTTTGTCCAAGTGGTCCACTATTTCAAATGCAGTTCAAACAGGCATATATTAAATTGTATGTTCCGTTTTAAATTCGTTCTATCTGTATATATATATATATATATATATATATATATATATATATATATATATATATATATATATTGTATATACTGTGACTTTGTCTTTTGGTTTAATTTAATAAATTAAATTAAACCTGTTAAATTTAATAAACAATAGTTTTATTATTTTATATTACCAAATGGCACAAAATGAGTAACTTACGAAGCTATTTTAGTTTTAAAAAATATTTCTTTTATCTCTATAAAAGATTATATGAATAGGTCAGAATCAGAGGTGACTATACATCGAATTCACAATTTTGAGATAATTGGGGGTAAAGTTACTTATATAAGTTTCGAAATAAAGTAACATAACTAATTAAATTTTGGGGTTTTTGTATATGAGAAACTTAAATAATTCAGGTAGAATAAAGCAAAAAATTTTTTTTTCAAAATTATCTTTGTTTAAAAAAAGTCAAAAAATGTTTACCTAGACGTTTTTCGCACTAACAAAATTGAAAAATACTTTGAACTAAAAAAAACCATTAGGCTGTCTCTTCTTTTGAAGCTATGCTAGACTTGTATCCGTCTGATTGGTGCACTTGAGATTTTTAAAATAGTTGTGATGGATATGAGGTACGTACTTTAAACAATGATATTAGATCTTTCTCTTTCTCTACTGTTATCCCTCTTCCTTCGGGAATTAATACATTTAACTCGCTGCATGGATTTGTTGAGGGACAGCCACGTATTTTTTTTGTGAAGTGTACTTCAGAAAAATAACTATCAGTGTTATAGTTATATTTAAAACACATTTTTCTTTTTCAGAAAATTTTAAGCCATTCTACTTTTTCTCCTTTAATTGCTTTTGGATGCACGAATTGCAGTTCCTAACGTCACAAGTTCGATTTACACTAGGTCAAGAAAAGAGATACAATTATCGCAGTGAATACGGTAAAACCCATAATATACATATTGAAAACTTATATTTGTCACTGTCATAATGGAGTTATGATATTTACAATTTATTATTGATTATGAAGTATAAATAGTGTGACCAACTAGTCCGAAAAATCATGTCAAATTGAAATTTCTGTATTTTAATTATCGTCTTCTGAAAAGACGATTCAAAAACAATAACAATTCATGTATACATATGAATCGTTTGTATTACGAGGCATGCTGCATACAATCATGTAATGATTGCTGATCCATGTTTTTTTCAGGTTTGTTAACCATTTTAAGTAAAACTTCTTGATTTCGTTCGCGCTATTTAAAACCAATTACATCGAATAATTCATTTCCAAACTATTAAATGCTTTGAACCAAAATTAAATCTGCTGCCTTGCAATATGATTTTATGTAAAAATTTATTTTATGTCAGTAATCAGTTTGAAGCCGCAAATAATGCAAGTTAAATAATCAATAAAATAATGATATTAAAGTTATATATTTAAAAAAATGGACCGATTTTCATTGAAAAGTCCCGGATTTCAGCTATTGTTTTATAGCCTTGATCAGAATTCGACTAAATGGGAGTTTTTTTTTAATTTGGGCGTAAATTAACAATCATGTGTTTCTAACTGCTGTTCTACAATAAAATCTAGTTCCTACATCTTGGATATGATGCCATCTACATTCATACTAATCCGATGTAACATTATTCAATGCTTCGCTGAAAAGTACTTTTACAGCATTTAATTTATATGTGGTATTTTTTTTTGCAACTTCTCCCTTTACTTGTGCCCATATTAGCTCAATGGGGTTGAGCTCGCAGTGATAAGGGGACAATCTAAGCACACATCTACCTGAAGACTTAATAATTTCATCTACTACATATTTTGTTCTATGGGATGACCTTTTACTAGCGTTAGTAACTGCTTGGACCATGTCGTCAGTAAATATAATATTTTTTTTTCTCGCAACCATTCTTGAATATTAGCTTTTCGCATAGCACTAGTTATATCTTTTCATATTTTCTGCTATGGTAGGACGCATTATCTAGGACAATAACTGCCGTTTTAGCTAAAGTTGGCGAAACCCTTTGCAGCCACTCTTCAAAAAGGTTGGAATTCATGTCTTCGCGGTAGTCGCCTTTTTTTTGTATTCAAACAAAAGCAGTCCGTTTTCCATAAATCCATTTTTAGATCCGATATGTAAAACAAAGTCGTTTGCCTTTCCCAGAAGGATGTTTCAATCCTGTAGAAAAGCCTTAAACATATGTTTGTCGAGCATTGGTGATTGACATGTCAGTCCAGACTCTGTCAACAGTATGATCAGCGTTCACGCAAGTTTCATCCAAATAATAAATAGTACGGTATTCCTGCATATATTGTCATATGGATTGCAAGTATCGTCGCATCGATGAGATACTTTCAATTTTTTTTGTCTTTAAAACACTATTTCGACGTATTTTCATAAACGTAAAACAAGAATGAATAAGTCCAGATAAAAGAGAGAGAATTATACTTTATTGATACTATGTTCCAAATGTCATCGACCGAAGTCTTTCAGCCAGTTTATTATATGTATATGAGATTTAATATTAGTTAGTTGGTATTAAAATTGTACTCACCGAAAATTAATTAATTTCAAAACTTTTTTCGAAGTAGTTTTCTTTAAATTTGGAATGTTCGGGTTTTCTGAAATTTTTTGCATAATATTAAAAACCGTTGGAAGCTCATTTAGTAAAAAGAAATTGTGAACAATTCGTCGAATATTTTATGTTCATCGGTAATTTCATCAAGCACTTTTTTAGATCTTTGGTAAGGTTTTGGTGGTTTAAATTCACCATTATTTTGGCGATGTGTTTTTAAAATATTATAAACAGATGATTTGTTAATACCTAAAATTATTTTTACTATTATTTTTATTAATAAATAGCAATATTAACAATTTACCTGTAGCTTCAGCACTGAATTTAATAACACATTCGCAGTCCTTCTCTGCGTTTAACTCCTCAGTTGCTTTTTATATGTATTTAAAATTACACATTTTTCTTCAACAGTAAATTTTGTTTTTTTGCCCTTTTTCTTGGAGGCGAAAGAGTGTTTCCATCCACATTTAAAACAAGCGATAATCTAACACAACCTGAATTTATTTAATACGGTGCGTTGTGTACATGGCTTCTCCCGTTCGGTTTCAAACGCATGTAAGTCTGCAGACATTCGGCCCTGGCGTAACAGTAATTCTGAGCCGAATTAACCATTTTGTCAGCAAAGTTCTCGAACTCCTTATGTGTATTTTTCTGTAATGCCTTGTTAAAGTGCTGATTCATCATTCGTACCTTCGCTAGAATTCTCGAACAGATGTTGGTGTATATAAACTGCGCGGCTCCTTTGAATAGACAGTAATTAGATAAGTGTTTTTTAAGCGATACCTCATATTATTGCCGGCGAAAAATTAAGTGTATTTATAATTATTAATAAGAATTTATTTTGTAATCGAGTGAATTAAATAAAATAAGTTCCTGTACTTCACTTAATCTCTGAACCAACAGAAAACGGGTTGAGTTTACCGAAAGTACAAGCTGATTATAGCCGCAAATGTCAAACATGGAACAAAAAATTTTGGTATAGCAGTGTTGGCATGCTTTTACAATGTAGATATTGTATGGTTCAAATATAAAAAGATAAAGCCTTAGAAAAGTACATTTTGTTTATATTATGTTATGAATTCTGCAATTTTTGATTTATATAAAACAAAAAATGAGTAATTATTTGTTTCTTTGGAGATTAATTGCAGTTAATTATTAGAAATTTTTTAGCAATTACCCTTTGATAGATTAGGGGATAGATTTGGCAATCGTCAAATCAGCAGTTGCCAGATGTTTACAATTAATCTTGAAATTGACAAATATTTACCCGTTATTGCTTCATATAAATTAAAAATTGCGGAATTCATAAAATAGTATAATCCAAATGTACTTTTTAAAAGCTTTATCTCTTTATATTTGAAGCATACAACATATGCATTATAAAAACATGCCAACACTGCCAAACCGAAATATTTTTGATATTGCGGCTGTATCCAGCTTGTACTTTCGGTAAACTCAACCGAAAAACGTAACAATTAGTGCCAGAAGAAACTGAGATTAAACGAAAGAAGTTGTTGTCGATAATTCATAGAAGAAAAAGAGGCTGATGAGAAACGTCACCTGGAAGAAAAAGAAGCTGAAGAGAAATATCGTCAGGAAGAAAAAGTAGCTGACGAAAAACGGCAAGAAGAAAAAGAAAAACGTTGTCAAGAAGCTGAAGGGAAACGTCATCTGGAAGACAGACAGGATACAAGACAGGAAAGAGAGGCCTCAAAAATGAGTAAAGAAGATATGAAAAGATAAATCGAATAGATAAAGGAAAACATGGTTACAGACATTGAAGTAACAAGGTGTCCAGTAGAGAAAAGACGAGATAACGAGAATCCTTGCAAATATCTGTCTAGAAATTGAAAAGACGAAGCAACTGAGAGTTAAAGGTAAAGCAGAAGTGATCCCATATCAACGGAATAATTAAGTCTTCTACATTTGACGGCGAGACCTCCTGGCCAGTGTATAGAAGTAGAATTCGATCTAAGTACGCTGTCCCATGTGTTGTTCGCCCAATTAGAGAAATATCTCGGTCCCGTAGCTGATTCTTTAAACAAAAACGTCAAGGACGCTCAAAGTGTTACAAGTGTTTAATTACGGATGGTCACAGATGCAGTTTTACCATCGATGCCACGGCAGCTAGGCTAAGGACAATATCGAAACCTCCCATACTAAAGACAGCCATAGGTGAAAGCATAGCTGTTTATGGGGAGACATGTGAAAAAATCGAACTAGGGCACGTCGAGATAGAAGTAGTGGTCCTAATAGCGACATTATGCCCGAACATGAGTTTATTGTAGATGTCAGGACCATGACCTTAGTCGTCATCAATGAAGAAATTGTCCGCCTCTAGAAACCAGGTATAACCAGATATATATATATATATATATATATATATATATATATATATATATATATATATATATATATATATATATATATATATTATTGTGATATTTAAAGTCTTGGTGCGCCAAGCAATGATTAGCTAATTAATTTTTTTGATTAATTAAAATTATTTAAATGATATGATTATGATTCTATCACAATTTTTAATTCTCTTATCTCAGGGTTTTATTCGTGCTTCAATATCTATGCTATTACATGTGAAAGGTAAGGTCCAAAGAATACCGGAATAATAAAAAACATATAGGATCTAACATTATATATTGAAATAAAAATAATGAAATAATTCACAGTCAAATGTTTTCAATAAACAAAATCTCATATAATGATTCTCAAAATTATGTTCTACGTACGTGAACCTTCAAAATTAATGGTACAATCAATATTAATTGAAATCTCAAAATCCAAGTATTACTCTAAATCTCCTAATCAAATATTTATATCCTTTCTAAATTAAGTGTAAAAATTGTGTTATTAATGAAAGGAAAACTGCAGAAAACAAAACTATCTCTCTCTCTGATGATGAATGGTCCAAATCCTTGTTATTTGTAGACTATATTATTTACTCGTGGCCGCTCCCTAAGTAATCAGCAATCTTACAATAAATTATTGCAAGTATCTCGTCCTTAATGATCTCCTTCAAATGCACGAATCGTTCAAATTATGCTAGCTTCTTCTTCTCTCAATAAACTGAATCTCTCGTTGGCCTGAGTGAAAAATGACTCTTGGAATATCTTTTCTTTACGATAAACTGAATCTCTCGTTGGCCTGAACAGTGACTCTTGGAATATAAGTAGAAAAATATGACTTACAATATTTTACTGGATCAGCTTCTGTCAGATACACTAACTACACGAAAACTCACAAACTTTCACTGCTACTGCTTCCTACCTCTGGGAAACTACCCGAGAACAACGGCCGTTCGCCTTGCACCCTTGAAAACCAACTAACTAACTTTTTTCAC